CACAGAGGTCTGTTGGCCTCCAAATGTGCCTGAGTTGGAATGACAGGTGCTCCAGAGACAGAAGGTTTGGTTTTGGTCTTTTTACAACCCTCAAATAAAACAGAACAAGAAAGAAGGAAAGGACACGCATCCACCAGGGGTTGGTGTTTACGCTTACCCCAAACCTCACTCACACATACTGGTGTTGAGAGAAAATACTCTTGGCTATTTAGGTCCTCTCTCAAGACAGGTAAACATTCCTCATAGTAGAACAATAGTCCTGACACTGGTAGCAAAAGACTCTTGATAACCTTCATAAAACCACAGGTCTCCTCGCTGCTCCCTGCACACCTGAGTCCCTGGTTCACAAAGTGGGACTTTCACCCCCATAGGTCACATAGCCCAGCTACACACCTAAGGCACCTGGACACTTTCTTTTTTTTTTTTTTTTAATATTTATTTATTTTTATTTATTACATTTATTTATTGTGTATGTGTGTGGCCAGCTCAGCCCACCAGGGGGCGGGTCTGGCTGGCATGTGGTGTTGGGGATCGAACCGCGGTCCCTGTGCTTTGCCAAGCTTGTTTCAAGTAGGTGCTTTAGACCACTGAGCCATCTCTCCAGCCCTACCTGGACACTTTCAAAAGTGCTGCCTATGGCCTTACTGTCCTCAGAATTCTGAATTTGTACTCAGTACTGACATCTGCCCAAATCTTATACCTTGATATTTAGGTCCCCCCTTGAGACAGGTAAACATTCCTTATAGTAGAACAACAGTTCTGACATTGAATGGTAGCATTCAGTGCTACCACTATTTTCCTTTTCTTTTACGTTCATTACTGATGGCCTTCTGTGAAGTGCAGCATTAATCACACCCTGCTTTAGGGGTGTGTGATCTTTCTGAAGTTACACTCGAATCATCCAAGTCCTCTGCACTAGATTCCCCAGGGATAGGGGCCAGATAGGGGCATCGCTGGTTCCTATTCCTGTCATACTTTGTCTAATAAATGTGCCCTGGCCTCACAGATTTGAAACTGTTCTTTCCTGTTGATGACTCAAGAATCTACTCCAATGGCTGGCCAGATGGCTCAGCAGATTAAAGCAAATACTAAGCAATACAGAGACTGGGTTTGATCCCCAGCGTGCCCATGCTGGCCCTGCCCCCTGGGGCATGCTGAACTGACTGGGCATAGTGGCACGTGCCTGTAATCCCAATGCCTGGAAAACTGAAAACAGAAGAATCACTACAAGTCTGATCTGTGTAGTAAGACCCTGTACTTAAAAAATAAAAAAAAAAAAAAAAATCTACCCCACAGGGTGAGTAAAGGTCCCCATGGTAGAGATCTCAGATGGCATCTGGTGATGATGTCCCAAGTTTAAATTTGAGGATTCCATTTTAGCAAAAGCATGTAGATATAAAGTAAAATGCTCAATAGTACTGTAAAGAAAACAGATTCTGGGGCTGGTGAGATGGCTCAGTGGTCTAAAGCACCTACTTAGAACAAGCTAAGCTAAGCAAAGCACAGGGACAGCGGTTCAATCCCCCAGCACCACATGCCAGCCAGCCCCACCACCTGGTGGGCTGAGCTGGCCACACACAAAATAAATAAATAAATAAATGTTTAAAAAAGAAAACAAATTCTAAGGCTATCCATGTTTTACTCCTGTAAGAACCAGCATTTCCTTTGCCCATCCTTGAAACCTACCTCTTGTGTTCTCATTGGCTGCTTCTAACTGCACCTAATTTGACTTAAGTATGTAAGAAGTAAAGATTAACCTATTCCCATAAAAGCCACCTTATATTTATTCTTGCCTCACTGTAGTAACATCACCACCATCCTCCTCCATTTTTTAAAAAATGTATTTGGTACAGGGTTATCACTATATAATTCGGACTCATAGTGATCCTCCTCTTTTCAGCCTCCCCAGCACTGGGATTACAGGCATGTGCCACCACACCTGGACTCGGCCTGCTGAGCAGACCCGAGGGTGGGGCTGACACAGCATGTGGTGCTGGGGATGGAACCTTGGTGCCTGTGCTTGCCTAAGCTGGTGCTTAGTCTGCTGAGCTATCTTGCTGGCCCTCTTCCTCCATTCTTTTTTTTTTTTTTTT